CCATGAACTGCGCCAGCCAGCCGATGCTGCCCACGAAGAAGCACGCGTTCACGTAGAAGAGGATCACGGCCGGGTAGCGGTTGGAGTTCCTCCAGTCGGCGACGAAGGTGGCCTGGTGTGGGGACAACGGCAAGGGGACGGGTGGCACGGGCGGCTCTGGGTGCTGCTCCCGGGATGCAGCCCCGGAGCCAGGACCCGGGGATAGGATGGGACTCGGAGTCATGGCCTTGACCAACGCCACCGAGGACCATGGCCTTAGCCAACATCACCAAGGACCATGGCCTTGGCCAACGTCACTGAGGACCATGGCCTTGGCCAGTGTCACCGAGGACCACGGCCTTGGCCACCGTCACTGAGAACCATGGCCTTGGCTAGTGTCACCGAGGACCACGGCCTTGGCCAGTGTCACCGAGGACCACAGCCTTGGCCAGTGTCACCGAGGACCACAGCCTTGGCCAACGTCACTGAGAACCATGGCCTTGGCTAGTGTCACCGAGGACTACGGCCTTGGCCAGTGTCACCGAGGACCATGGCCTTGGCCAACACCACTGAGGACCACGGCCTTGACCAACATCACCGAGGACCATGGTCTTGGCCAACGTCACCGAGGACCATGGCCTTGGTCAGTGTCACCGAGGACCATTGCCTTGACCAACGCCACCGAGGATCACGGCCTTGGCCAATGCCATCAAGCACCATGGCCTTGGCCAACATCTCCAAGGACCACGGCCTTGGCCAATGCCACCGAGGACCACGGCCTTGGCCAACATCATCGAGGACCATGGCCTTGGCCAACATCTCCAAGGACCGTGGCCTTGGCCAATGCCATCAAGGACCATGGCCTTGACCAACGCCACCGAGGACCATGGCCTTGGCCAATATCACCAAGGATGGCACAACACCATGGTGGGACATAAAGCAGGCAAAAAAACAGTGCCTGGCCCCGGCATCGCCGCGGGGCTGCGCTCACCAGCGTGAAGAAGGTGCAGAAGATGGTGATGGAGCTGAAGGCGGCGATGTAGACGTGCATCTCGCGGTGCTCCTTCTCGGTGAAGAGCGGGTTCTGGCACTGGATGCCGCAGCCCTCCACGTCCTCGTACCAGCTCTTGGGGTTGTCGGTGCGCACCAGCGGCGCCTCGCACTGCCCCGAGCTGTTGAACTTGATGTTCTGCACCTCGTTCTGCCCAGGAAGACAAGGGGACGTGGCCACGGGAGCGCGGCGAGAAGCGCCCGCTCGCTCCGGCTTCCCCACGGACGCACGCGGCCGTGCCCGGCATGGAGACGAGTCCCGGGGGACCCCATGGAATGGGCGGATGGGGTTGGGGACCTTACCGGGCAGCCCTCGGGGAAGCGCTCCGGCGTGCACTTGAGGAAGTCGGGCCAGCCGCGCTCGCGCTCCACGATGGTGCAGGGCGCGCGCGTGGCCTGGCACAGCGTCTGGCTGGGCAGCTCCACCTGCCCGTCCTCGCACTTGGGCATGTAGACGGCGCAGAGCAGCGGCTGGATGACGTCCCAGCAG